CAGCAACTTCTTCCTAGATTCCATTACTTCTAAAACAAAGATACTTAAGGTCTCCCTGCCTCAGTGACCTAATCTGTAAAATGGGTGTGACATTTACTTGGAAGAGAAGTTGTAACATTTAAGTACGGAAATGCACAGGGGAAAGTGCCTAACATAAATCCCTTTAATGCTATTAATCTCAATCCACATACAAGGGCTTACTTTCAAAGCCTTGCAAAAACCATAAATAGGTGAAAGTTTGTGACTAGGCACAGAGCAAGACCTTAAAAATCATATAGACAGGTCAAATATAGAGCCTTTAAGACAGGTTTAATCAGTGTCTTTCAGTGGAATTAACATGCTAATGGTTAAAGCTGTGGATGGGACAACTCAGAATGTATCTGTAACAAACCCCCCATGAACTACCCTTAATTAAAAAAAATTAAATGAAGTAGAGAAAGCAAGTACACAAGGGCTAACATTTTCATTTTATATTGTGTTAGACCAAGTCACATGCTCTCTCTGCAAATTCCTCAGAAACCAAGTTCTCCAGCTTCCTAGAAATGCATTGACTTCCACACTTTAAGAAAAACATGATTTTATGAAGTTGGGCAGAGGCTGCAGAACTTACCTTCCAAAATTATTTTTATCATATGCTGGCTAAGCGTGTTAAAAATCGAATGGAGAATTTCAGTGTATTAGCAGAAGGAGGAAGGAGGAAACCCAGAACTTCAAACATCCAGTTTCCCAAATTATACATTCAAAACGAGGTACCTTGTTCTAGAAACAGTATGAGTGTAAGAGCGCCTTAAATGAGATAACTCGGGTGCTTCCCAAGATAATGTCTGATGCGCTGTGTTAGAAATGAATGCATTTCCATAACGCAAAACTCTAATGATTCAAGCTAATAATTACTTCTAAAAAGCTTTCTATTCTAGTTCATCTCTAGACTGATTAAAGTCAATTTGTTTTAATATTACATTTCATTTGACAAAGACTAGCTGGCAGGGGCCTGATACTTCACCATACAAAGAATCTGGTTAACGGATCCTTTGGTGAAAAGGTGCCCTGCTTTGTCCACTCTATACCCAGAACCCCATATTATCCACTCAATGTCTATGCAAAAGGGGGCTTGGACTTCCCCGTGCCTAGGGTGAAAAGATTCTCTTGTAAACTGGCAAGAAGCCTGCCTGCAGTGGCCTGACCTTCCTGGAGACCAGAATATCTGGGAGGTGGGCTAAATCTCTTCCTGGGCTTTTTGTGCCTTAGTCCTTCTGTCAACCGTGCAGATTGCGGACTCAATATTTGGTACCACAGCCCTTGACTGCAGTCTATCAGCGTCCCCAAACATCTTCACATGCCAACACAGGCCACCCAGAAAATGGTACCATGTCTGACACACCCATAATTTGGAAGGAGTGTGGAGGCCCAGCAACGCTGCTGGTAATGAGAAGCAACTGGCAAGGGACTCCACTCCAGCCCCCACGGTGGCCTCCAGGGCTGGGAGACACGAACATCTCCCCGCAGCCTAGGAGGGTTGAAAAGTGCCAGGCCACCTTGCACCCCATCTAACCCGGGCCAGCTTCTGTTTTCACAAGCCTACACATGACAAATTAAGCAAAAACACAGTGAAGGCCTTGGGTCATCCGCTTTGTGAACATATATATCACGTACCACCCCCCCCTTTTCCTTCAATTTCCAGGTACGTAAACAATAACAACAATAACAACAAAAACACCCGAAAACTTGATTCTAAATCAGTACCAAATATTCAATTTCAAGAATTGAACCTATATCACATATTCAGTTTTAAGAACCAGAGTGGTGAACTATTCGAGATCAAAATTTTTAAAATGTGTGTCAAGGTACGAACGTATGTGCACACCTATTTTTCATGATTTTAATGAAATCTCATACGTAACTCATCAAATATAGAAGACCGACAAGTTAGGAAGAAGCACCATAGAAAAGTGCTCTTCAGTGTGCAGAAAGCTTCGTTTCAGGATTCATTTAAATATCAAGATCTACTTCACATTTAGACTCGTTTCAGGAAAAAAAAAGTATGTGAGGCTTTTAAAAGAATTTGGCTTATAATTTAGAGATGATTTAAAAAACACATATCCTACTGAAGGCAAAGTCAAGCTACATCTAATATATGTAATGAAAGGAGTGCTCCATATGACTCCGTAAGGTCAACCCACTCTTCAGTTTACAAATATGGGGACATCAAACCAAATGTGTCCATCCCAAGACAATTTTGTGATAAAGATTGGCACTATTTTGCACAGTTTTCTTGACTACATTGGAACTAGGTCTTTCGATCTCTCTCAAATCCATTTGGGTTGAAAATTTAGTACAGTTACCAAAACTGGGGGGATGCGTGGGTGGCTTAGTGGGTTCAGCATCTGCCTTCAGCTCAGGTCATGATCCCAGGGTCCTGGAATGGAGCCCCATGTGGGGAATCCCTGCTTAGCAGGGAGTCTGCTTCTCCCTCTCCCTCTACCCCTCCCCCCTGCTCATGCTCTCTCTCTCTCTCTTTCTCTGTTCTCTTTCAAATAAATAAATAAAATCTTAAAAAGAATTACTAAAACTGGCAATCTAAAAAAAAAAAAAAAAATACAAGGGATGACCTGAAGATTCCCGCCCCCTTAGAGAAACATAAGCAATGCATTCTTTGAACAATCTTGCCAAGGAAAGAGAGGTTGTTTTTTGTTTGTTTGTTTTTTTAAACCGGTCATTTTCTCAGCCTTTGGTCGGCTTTTACAGGAAACCTTGAACTGGGGGTAAAAGTCATGCTTTCCAAGTATAAGTAAATAGGTTAAGATGGCTTGTCCTACAATCATATTGAAGTACTTAATCAAAAGGCAAAAGACAACAGAGGGCCCTGGGGGATGGCAGAGAGAAAAGGCAAGGAGAGGCCCTTCCTCCGGGCTCTGTCTGGTCTCATCTGGCTGATTTTGCCCCCCACTCTCCCCCCACGGGCCTGTCTGCAGTTCTGCATCTGCCCTACAGAAGGCAATATTTACAATACGATCAAGCCCACGCACGGGTTGCATCTCTGGGGCGAAACCTGGAAGAAGCATGCCCTGGCTGAGCCCTGCGGTCCCTCTAGCACATGCTTTTAGACACTGGTTTGGATAACTTTCAGAGGCTTTCTGTGCTTGGGATGGAAGATAGCAGCTAATTTATTCATTTTAATTAACGCCAGCCCAGGAAACTCTTTAAAGAAGGGAGAGGTCATTCTTAATCCTTCTGAGACAAAAGGTCACTTTGATCTCATAAACTCGGCTTTCTGTAATACCTCATTTTCCTCTTCGTGCTCCAGGATGGCCTGCAGGAATGCCCTCCGCTCGTGGCTCGAAGACTTCTGATCAAACATGCCCGCCTGGATCACTTTCTGATCTACGTTCAGCTTGTACTTTGCAGCGGCGAGAATCTTTTCCTCCACGCTGTTTACGGTGCACAGTCTCAGCACCCGGACCTCGTTCTGCTGGCCGATGCGGTGAGCTCGGTCCTGTGCTTGCAGATCCTGCGAGGGACAAGGACATGCTGTCAGGGGTCAGTGCGTGCATTAGCTGAGCACGCAAGTCGCCTGCCCGAGAGGGGAGTGAGGAGGGTTGTTTAACCCACCCATACTCATCAAAGATTTTGCTTTCATTTTTAACATAGGCAAGCTAGTTCATCCCTAATGGAGGGAAGCTGGGCTCTGATGAGCTTGGTTCACCATCAGAATTAGTCCCCAACTAAAAACAAAACAAACAAAAAAAACCCCCAATACATCTGATGTCAGAATTAGGACTTTGATATGACCTACAACTGACCTTAAATTGCAAGGTCGTCATGGCTGCTTGTGTCAAGTGTTCAAGAAGATTTTTAACATATTCATGAATTATACACACATACGTTACACATACACACTGTACATACAGGGATTGCTCAGGTGACAGATCTCCTGGGATCTAAACCCACCAAAGATGCAATCTTTTGTTTGGGGAAGGAAAAGGATTGCTAGTAGAATACTAAGTTGGTCATATTTTTGGGGGCAGAAATCTGGCACTTTGTTTCAAAAGTGTGAAAACTGGGTATGGTCCCTGCCTCCTGAAATTTTACTTCTCGTCATTTATCCTATGGAAATAATCATGGATATGCACCAAGATTTACAAATAAGGGTGTACCTCTCGCTGTTACATATTATTTACAAGTTTTAAGAGCAGAATTAAATAAAAAATCAACAATAACAGGTTGGTTTAAAAAATTAGTCTTTGTATGTTATGTGCCACATACTACATGTAGAGTGCCATTCAAATCAATTAGAAATTTAATAACACAGAGCTATAATAAGTAAGAACTACAAGTTACCTATGAGTAGGTACACCAGGATCCTATATGCGCTTATTTACCCAGACCAAGAAAAGGCAGGAGGGCCACGCCAACAATATTGACATTTCCCAGCAGTGAGAGTACAGTCATTATTAAATTTTCCTCCTTTTATTTTCAAACGGTTTAACATTTTTTGCTGCTTCAAACATATATTACTCTTACAAGAAGAAAAAGGTTTTAATGAAATCTTTCCATTAAAACCTTCAGAAACCTGAGGCCAAGTTACCTGATTTTAATGCTATACAATAAAACTTTCTTGGTCTGTTACTTTTACTCATTCTGGCCCAGGGGATGGTCTCTGTGCCCATGTTAAGTAGTGGTTTCCATGTGTCCCCCATTAGACCTGTCTCCATTTTTAGGGCAAAAGTCTGTCCCCTGTATCCTGCATCCCTGGCACCTGATTTTGCACAGAGCTGATACTCCACAGCGTAAGCCCATCCTGTTGACCAGATGAGTCATGCACGTGGCATAAGGCGACAACAGGCCCAAGTCCCCCCAGGAGACCTGTCTTTGCTGCAGGGACCTCTATGATTAAATGACTAATGAGGCAAAAACTGCTCCTCAGAAGATGTCTGAATAATATTAAATATCAGACAGCTGAACCACGAACATGGCTGGCACCCAACCAGATTAGATGATTTTCCAAAGAGGAGAAAGTGAGGTGGATAAGTGAAATCCAAAGCTGGGGGCAGGGGTGGAACCCTAAACTTCATTTACAAGACCTTGGTTCAGTCATCTCTCTCAACACACGCTCACCAGTGTGGTGAGGCCGTGGCCGAGACAGCGAGTTGTGTGCTGTCAGCCTCTGGATTATCTTCTAGAACAGGGGTCCGTGAGCTGTTTCTGCAACGGGCCCAAGAGCGATTATCTATTAGTAGTAAATATTCTAGGTTGTCTGGGCCAAGAGCAAACACTTAGCAACTGTTCTCACCAAAAGGCTGAGTATCATCTTCTTTTTTCTCCATTTTACATTTTTCTACTTAAAAATGGGAAAAAAACTACTCTTAGCTCACAGATCTTACAAAAGCAGATGGCAGGCCAGATTCGGTCCCCAGGTCTGAGTTTGCTGACCTCTGCCCTAGAAGATGCTGATAAATTGCAAAAATACTAAGGTACAGATGGCAACAGAATGTAATAGGCAAGGAAGTGGAGGGCCCGGGACACCTAAAAATGGGGGTGGTAAGTTCGTGAGCCCTCGCGAGCTGGCTGCCAATTAGGTGTGTTGTTCTGTTCTGTTTCACGGTGGTGGCAGTGGTGTTTTTTGTGTGTATAAAGCCAAATATCTATTTGGAAAGCAGCAAAAATTAGTGTTTCTAGGCTGAAGAAGTTTATGGAATATAAGCCTAAGTCTGTAAGCCAAAATGGGGAGGGGGGCGTATACGGTGACCAAGAAATACGTGCTGTCGTTATTGGATGGATTCGTCAATACTTCTGAGATTTTAGTGGTCTAATGTTTCGTCACACCAAGGAGGTGTGATTGAATCTGAAGACAAGAACATAGCCTGAGAAGAGAGCCTCCAAGGTAACTCTGCGGTTGGCCCTTCTGTCTAAACAACCCAACTCCAGCTCCAGGGGCTAATAATAAGGGTACCAAGCCATGTTTGTTTGGAAATGAGAGCCTCAGTAATCCCGAGGGATTTTATTGCTAATTCCACATATGTATGTTCCAACTTTACTTCTAACGAGAGCCTCCAATTAGCGACTGGTAGGCCTCTATCTTCAATCTGTCAACTTTTGTCAAACGGAACTGCTCTTTGGTCAATATGCCTTAATTTTGACTCAACGTGACAAAGAATTACTACAGAACGCTTTTTTTTTTTTTTTTTTTTGGCAACACATGCTGAAACCAACATGGTAAAAAGAGGTCCAAAACTTTCGTTTTGGGGACCATGCAACCTTTATGCAGGGGTACAGGATTCATACCCAGACAGACACGGACAAGTTAGTACTGACTGGTTTCCTTAAGTGGAAAGTATTTCAAGGACTAGGTATGAAGTTAGGTTTGCAAACTGCCTTGTAGTATCTAGTGGAGTTCGCTGCTTAATGAAAGTTAGTTCTCTTACCTTTCATATGAAAAATCAATATTCACTCTATCACTCTAAGATCACTGACTTCTGAAAATGAAAAAAAAAAAAAAAAGGTTTGCCCAAACTAATGGCCACATTTAAGTGACAGACATGAAAAATATGATCAGCCCAGTTGCCCAAATCAGGCGGCAGTGAAATCTACCTACGGCAGATAAAAATATTTGGGAGAAATATATGGCCCACTGCTGGGAACCTGTGGAAAATTAGACCAGAGGAAGTCTGAGGTCCTGTGTGTTTTGTTGCTTAAGTTTTAGTTCAAATACAGTGAAAGGTGAATGAATTGTTCAACGCTCATGCAATTTACTTGATTCTGGAGTTCCACCTTTAGTTAGTGGTTGTAAGTTTGTGTGTGTGTATGTGTGTGTGTGTGTGTGAAAGAGAGAGAGAGAGAGACAGAGACAGAAGGGGGAGACAGAGGGGGGGAGACAGAGAGAGAGAGAGAGGGAGAAGACAGAGACAGAGGGGGAGAGCAGGGTAGAGGGAGAGAAAGAGAGACAGGCATGGATGTCCCAGCATCCTTTCCCTGGTAAACCAGCTTTTCTAGAGACAGTGAGTACCTCTGGCCTTTGGGATTTGCCCTGTGCCAAACCAGATGGTCAGCTGAGAAGCCCCAGATGTGCTTACCTCCAAAGATAAAATCTAGCGAACCCTCCATTCACCTATAGACAGGCTTTTTTTTCTTTTTTTTCTTTTTCCCTCAGTAAAGATTTAGGCAGCAGAGATAGGGTGATCGAAACCACACCGAGCACCCTGGGGAGGAGAAGAATCACATACTCCTCCCCTAGATGCCCAGCAGAGCCTCAGGGCCTGCAGCCCTGCAGCCACTCTCAAAATGTGGGACTGACGCGGAGTTCCCAACAGTAAGCAGGAAAACTGCAGGTCTGTCATTAGGAGTAAGAATTCCACCTGTGCCCGGGAATGCACCGTGGGATATAAAAATATATAAAATATATAAAAATATTTCCTGAAGACCAATGGCCGTGGCCTCCCCGAGGCTCGGAACCACTGGTCTAGTCTTGAAATCAGCGCTCCTCAGCTAGGAGAGAAACGACGCAGAATCTCTAGGGAGCTTTTGAATGTCTGGAGAAGGCTGGGAAGCAAACGGGGTGTGGGGTGGCAGGGAATGGGAAGCAGGCGTGCGTGCTTTTTTTACAAGCTCTCTCATCATTCTGTGCAGCCCAGGACTCCATCCCCTGCCCTAAATGAGTGCCGTCCGTAAGCCTTTTCGTCCCAGTCTCCACCACGACCCAGTGAGAACACTACTACTCTGCGTGTTTGCAGTGGAGGAAACCGAGGCGCAGGGAGCAGCCCGGGGAAACTGATGTTCCAGTCACATTCATATGGGGGAGCTGCAGTTTTCTCTCTCCTATTTTGAATTCACGTGTGCTTCAAAATGAATCAAATCCCGACGAACAGCATTCTACCCAATTTCGCACAAGCAGGTGACTGTCTCCCCACAGCACGGAGGCAACTACGGGGGAGCCACAAGGGACCCGTTCTCTTGGGCTTTTTCAATCATCAAAGCAATCCTATAAAAGGGTAACTGTAAATTGACCTGGCTCAAAGAACTTAGTAGTAGATGCTCCACGGGATAGTCTTTGATGGCGATTTTAAAACAAAACACACAGACCAAAAGACAAACTACTATATACTAATGGTTTGACCTTCAGGAACTTACTTACAGCTTCTGGGGACTCATTTTCCTTGACTGGAAAGGTGCATCTAGTGATGTTAACAACCTCACAGCGTTGTGAAAACGGAATGAAGCGATGCACGTGAAGAGGGTGGCGCAGAGTTAGGGTCTAATAAATGTTAGTTGTTGCTGTTTTTATTTTGGACATTTGTGAATTTTCCTATAACCAAACATCCTTTGCTTTGGGGTCAATCCCAGGAGATGGGTCTAACACTGAGCAGAGACTGAGTTTGTACCCCAAACTGGAGCTTTTCAAAGGCACATCGAAGGTGTGTGGAAGGTGTCCGACCTCCGAGGGAGGTGAGGTAAGACAGCCCTTGGGAGAAATGGCCCACTCTTTTAGAAATCCGCTCTTCCCCACAAGGGTGAATGACGACACCAACAGTCTCTTAGTCCCCCTAGTTCCAGAAGGGACGCCAGGGGCCCCCACGTCACAGACGGACAGACCTGGTGAGGGTTCCAGTCGCTGTCAAAGATGACCACTGTATCAGCTGCCTGAAGGTTCAAGCCCAGGCCACCAGCCCTGGTGCTCAGCAAGAAGATGAAATACTGGGACCCGGGCTCGTTGAATTTCTTCAGCAAAGCAGCCCGGTCCTCAGACTTGGTGGTGCCTGTGGGTATAAGACAAGTAAATTTGCCAATGAACTCCCGTCCGAAAATGGCACAGAGCCAGAGAGATCGGCCGGCCTCCTGGAGAAACAGACACCTCTTGGCACCAGTGAGATAATCCCCTGGGGTTTTTGTACTTTTTGAAAGGAACTTTGGACATTTTGCAATTAAAAAAGAGAGAGAGAGAGACTTTTCTCAAATCAAGAAAAAACACGGTCTACTATCCATTGTTTCAAAACGCTGGGTTTAAACACTTAGGACCGGGCACCTTTATAACTTTACAAATTCCAAAACATTCTCACGTTAACCTAAAACTTAATGAAAACATTTTCTAGATTTACTTCTGTGCTTAAAAACACCAAATAATTTTTAAAAACCCACCTACCTACACACACACACACACACACACACACACACGCACGCACACGTGCCTACAAAGATTACTGTAACAGTTTAAGGCAATTTTGCGGACGGGCATTAGAGTGAGCTCTTGTTTATGCCAAGAGGGTGGAAACAAAGGGGAAATCGATTTCCACTGCGTTTTACCGTCTGGATTGCTCCTGAGCATGATCTGGCTGGGAAAAACATAAAACGTGAAAGGAATATTTTTATCCTGGTTAGCAAGACCTGAAGCCACAATAACCCCCATATATATATATACGTATACGGAAGCTCTTTAGTCTGTTTCTCATGCTGACATTCTGCTCTGCTGAGTTCAAAGGGTGCTGACCTACAACCCAATGAAGCAGCATATAATACCCCTGCCTACGGCTGGCCCCAGGGTGCCTGAAGAGACTCCACAACAGGGAGTAAGCAGAGAGCACCAGACCCCAGAGCATGGTGCTCACATTTAGGGCACGAAGTCATCCGTACCTGCCTCCCAAATCAGCCACTCAATCATACACTCTGTGTTTGTAATGAATTTCCCCGGGAAGCATTGCTGCAGAGGTTTGAAAAAGGCTCTAGGCTGTTGGGAAACAGATATGCGTGTCCCACGATGGTCCCTCAACGCCTGCTATACAAATATTATTTCTACATGGTGTTCTTTTTTTAAGGATGAAAACACACCAGCAACTTATTTCAGAGGATTAAAACATTTAAGCGAGGACAGCTTAGGAAATCATGTTATCCTGAGGGTCAAATACCCAAACGCAGCAGGGGGAAGGGGGTGGAGCTGTTCTTCCTATTAATAAAAATGGTAAGTACCCTCCCGAGGAGGGGGGGAAAAAAAAAACCCAATTCCCCATATATAGCAAATGGGGATTAGGACCAAGGGGCTTTGGGGGTTCTCTTCATTAAACGAAGCAATGTTCTTTAGAGCTCATTTTGCTTTCTAAATTAGATTTCAAGTTTAGCCACCTGGTCAAATCCTGCAAGGAGAAACGGTAAAGAGTTTAGATTTTGGGGGGAGGAGCACTAAATGTGCTCTGCTTGCTGAGTGAGGTCTCAACTCTGTGGGGCTCTTTTTTTTCTTTTCTTTTCAGAGTTGGCTTTCTTTTTTTTTTTTTAAAGATTTTATTTATTTATTTGAGACAGAGAGAATGAGAGAGAGAGCACATGAGAGGGGGGAGGGTCAGAGGGAGAAGCAAGCTCCTTGCTGAGCAGGGAGCCCGATGTGGGACTCGATCCAGGGACTCCAGGATCATGACCTGAGCCGAAGGCAGTCGCTTAACCAACTGAGCCACCCAGGCGCCCCAGAGTTGGCTTTCTGAGACCACGGTGACCTATGTGTTCTCGATCCTAATGGAAGACAAGTTCTGTGCTATCATGAAACCTGCTCGCTGTATCGTCTTTCCAGGTGCAATAATTAAGACAGAATTACTCACATGGAGTCACGGTTCCATATTTACCCTCTGCCTCAAACCACATGGAAAGCCACAGAAACAACAACAAAAAAGATGTTCCTAAAGTGAAGGAAAGGAGAGCTTCCAGAGACAAGGATGTCTGTTTTCCGACAGCAGGTACAGCATCTATGTGCTCTGAGGATATAAGTTCAGTTTTAAATCCACTGAAAAAGAATCGGCTAACGACCACCCGCATTAAGCTATAAATTAAACTGGTTAGTGGACATGTCTCCTGGGGGATGAAAATAACCCTAAATGCAAAATAAAGCCCTGGAAAACAAAAGAAATACCAAAATGATTTGGTCAAAGGGGTTTTGGGGCCCTCCGCCAGGTACCTCAAGCAAAGAGACGGAGCACATATCTGGTGTGGATTCACACCGCCTAACTAGCTGGGAACTTGATGAATTTTCAAAGCCATAAAAATCTATGATTAAATCACGTTTCAGGCAAAGAACTATGACATTTCTAATGACAAGGTTCAGAATTTGCTGGATTACCATTCCCATTAAGTCACAGGTTCCCCGAGTCGAGATCTTTGCTGATCATCAGCAATCGCTGGGATATTTGCTCAGGGAGATTCAAACCACTGTGTCAGGGTTTATCCACAGAGCAAATAAATGCTCCTTGCAGGTGGCACAGGATTTCACACGCTCAGTATGAGCGTCAGTTCCACGTTCTGTTAGACTTTGAGGTAGAACACAACCAAGAACACAATTAAGAGCAAGCGCGACTGTGTTGAAAGTTGCAGAATGCGCTGGAAGGAACACACTGTCAGGCTTTCATGATTACTAATTTTAACTTAGTTTCAGCTGCTTTGGGAAAATTTGGTCTTCTGGGATGTAGCTTCACCACTTGCTCTCACTCAAAAATCATTTCCAGGGAAAACAAAGACTATGTAACAGGACAGTAGCCAAATCTGTTCATGCAACCATCATCTTTGCAAGAAAAAGAAATCTGTTTAGCTGTCATTGAGTGATTTTTCTCCCCCCCGAGGTCAAACATCTGAGACCTCAAATTCAGCAACGAAAATCTGAAGCCATTTTAACAAACGGGTGAAGGGGCAGGTGGCTGGAAGTTGGTGCCCTTGTGAGTGTGTAGACTGACTGTTTGCCCATTGATTCTCTCCAGCCCCCCCAAACAAATGGTTGCTATTTCTTGCGGGGCAGAAGCCGTACCATTTCCTCAACTCCATCTGTAACATTTTATTATGAAGCTTGTTTACTTGTTGTCTCCTCCAGCCTAATGGCGAGGACTCCGATGTCAGGAACACAGCGGCTCCATTCATCTTGTATCTCGTTCCAATTCATCACTTTAAAAATTGTGAATAAGTTCAAAATCATTCTTGAAATGCCGCCTGCCAGGAAAGAAGCCTGCATTTTCAGAGAGGGGATGTAGCCTCCTGGGTCTGCTAAAGTTGATTCTGAAAACTAACTGGCATCAGAGAGATCTAAATTAGAGCCTGGCTTCGCCGTTTGCGTCATGCGTAAGTTAGCTCATTTCTCTAAGCCTCTGTTTTCCCATCTGTGAAATGGGGATCGTATTCGTACCTTGGTAAAAGGGGGTAAAAGCCTGTTTGCCGAGAAAATTACATCCATAATGCACAGGAAGCGCCTTGCCCGGTATCCCACAAGCAGTAGGCCTTCCATCAACGTCACCTTTTATGACAATTATTATTAATGACAAAAGGATAAGGTCAGCCACCAACAGCAACCTGTGAAGGAGACTCTCTCAGGCTGGCAAGAAAACATGACAGTGATATGTTTCAAGGAAAGCACTTCTTGCCAGTTCCACAGACTTGAATATTCCAGGGCCACAATCCTCAAAGAGGGGAGATTCTAAACGAAAAGCCACAAAGTAGTAAAACAGCACTTGTTCGGGACACCAGGGCAGGGCTGTCCCTCACCTGAGCAGCAGGGAAGGTGGGCTTGCCCTTCAGATGAGGGCTGACCTTGCCCCTTATGGAGAAGGGACGGGAGAATCAGGTCAAAGGACAAAGGACGAGACGCGGTGCAGGAGATTTGCCAAAAGAGACAAGACTGGACGACAGAACCGTGTCACGAATTCAAGAAGGAACATTGACTTAGCCATGCATTGACTTAGGTTGCGGTGACTTTGGAGGGGAGAGATAAAAAGATCTTTCAAAATCAAGTCTGTCTGAGGTATAATTAGTTCAAAAGTTAATAATACCCTAGGAGGTACACCATAAAGAGAATTCACTTAAAAAATAGAAGAGAGAGTAGGGCAAGTCTGAGGTTGGTGTGTGTCCAGTTCTATCTAATTAGTGGCAACCAGGGGGACAGAATGTTGGACTGAACATAAAACAAAACCTTTTATTTACTTATTTAATTTAATTTTAATTTTTTATTTTTTTTAAGGAGGCTCCACGCCCAGTGTGGAGCCCAGCATGGGGCTCGAACTCACGACCATGAGATCAAGACCTGAGCTGAGATCAGGAGTCGGACGCTTCACCGACTGAGCCACCCAGGTGCCCCAAAGTAAAACCTTTTAATGGAACATAAACTTTTAAATTTCCCACATAACAATAGCTTGAAGATTGTGTCAGATAAAAACAGGTATTAGTAATAACTGTTACATTTTGTGTGCAGGGATTCCATACCATCCTGGCTATAAATTAGCTCCTATTCCCACGTACCACTCTTAGAAAGTGCTATCCCCTTGCCACAGCATAGGAAATTTGGTATCTTTCAACCTCAAAAATATTAGGGCAGGTATCCAAATCATACAGTACTTTCGGAAATAAATATCTCTAAATGCATGTTTCCTTCCATTCATATGTTCTTACTGATTTTCTAAAAATCGAAATACCCAGGCAAATCAGGCAACTATTTCACATAGTTTTGTAAAATCCAGGACACAGTGGGGCCCTATCTCTTAATGCAGCATGGAGATATGTTCTATTTAGGAAAAGAAAGACGCTTTAATGATAATTCGGTACCATCCTAAATGAATAAGTACAGTGTTACCGAAGAGAGGAGACACAGCCTTTATCCCCTTAAAATATGCCTCAACAGAGAAAGCTAAGGGCTTATCAGAATATTCGGCATAGTGTGTAGGTCACACACCATCCTAAAAGCAGAGAGGGTTTTTAAATTTTAATTTAGTTTCATTTAGTTTAATTGTGGCACACATAAATGCCTCCAAGTCCACTTGCACTGGCTTGTCTGGGGGGGATAAACAGCTGTGCGAGTGATTTCGGCTTATTTTAAGGTGGAGGATATAAAAATTGCTATCTGCAAAAAAAAGCTGCACCCCACCCTGCTAGTTAACTCTTCAACAATTTCCCTCCTCCTGCCGGCTGGGGCCGGACCTAAGTGCCCCTCACCCGCTGCGCGCCCAGCGGCGTGGCTTCCGAGCCTGGTCCCTTTGGGACTCACCATCAAGGCGAAGGTACAGGAAGTTCCGAAATGCAAAGTAATCCTCCATGATGGTCATGAGGGACGTCATCTGGCAGAAAAGCAGCACGCGGTGATTAGTTGCTCTCAGTTTTGGCAGAATACGATCAAGCAGCTCAAACTTTCCTGAGGCCCGATACAGCTCAGCCCTGAACCCAAAAAGGCAAAACAAGAAGACGGTATTACTGCTGTCTTCTTGAAGGATCCAGGATAGCCTGAATGAATGAATGAATATCCACCCCAGAGTGATGGGGGCATGTCATGGAAAAAGGAAATACTTCTATATAAAACCCACAAGGAGTACATTATAGATGCTATGTATGGCAACAGATTCTCTAGAAAGAGGAGATCGTTTCGTGTTCCTAATACTTTCACTCGCTGTCTCTCTCTTCCTCTCCCTCAATTCTCTCTCCCTTATCCACACACAGTCGTGAATCTGTTGTGCTTCCTTAAACTGTTACTTGGTAAGCACATCAAGTTATTAATTTAGGGCACTTAAGATGCGTCCAAATATTTCTTGAGCATCTACTACTACCTGCCGGGCGCATTCCACGTGTACAGGGATGAGAAAATAGAATCCCTGCCTTCCAAACGGCTAATTGCAAATTGTGATGAGCACTAAAGAGAAAAATAACAAGTTGCTATGAGACAACGCATAACAACACGTGACATCTTTAAATTAGAGCAGGGTTTGGCAAATTTAGGTCCTGGCCTGCTGCCTGTTTGCGTAAATAGAGTTTGATTGGGGCGCAGCCAGGCTCACTCATTTCTGCTTTGTCTATATGGCGGCTTTCACGCCACACAATGGCAACATTGGGGCAGACTTTTTGACACACACAGGCAAAGACATTTGAGATCTGGCCCTTTAGAGAAAAAATTTGCCAGCCCTTGATGCAGGTGACCTTGCTGAAGAGAGAACAGTTGAACTAAAACACCAAATAATGAGCAACAAGACAGCCGGTTGAAGAACGGGGCCTTGGAGGAGGAGGAGATTCCAGGAAGTAGGGAGAGTATGTGCAAAGGCCCTGTGGAGTAAAGGAGCCTGGTGAGTCTGAGGAACTAAACATAAGCAATAGGGGAATTCTGGAGATGGGGACAGAGAGGCAGCAGGTTGTGCTGGGGGGGCAGGAGGCCGGCAGATGCCGGAGGACCTAGCCACACTGAGTGTGTTCACTTTAAGTGCAACAGAAAGCCGCTGATGGGTCTGAAATAGGGCAGTGGCAAGATCTGCCACATCTTTTTAAAAGATCACCATGTACACTGTACGGATGGACTGGGGAGGGGACATGAGGCCTGGCTTACAGAGAAGTTCAAATCAAAAAGAGGATGGTGGGGGTACCTGCTGTCACAGTGTCAAGGAACTAAAGCAGGGCCTTTCCTCTTCCATAATAAACTCCTTCTCTCTTTTGTCAACAGGGATGTGTTAAATTATTAAAACTTAATTGTCGGGCTGATATGACTGGGAAAACTCATCAGTGCATGCACTCTACAACACTGCAATGGATCATCGGTAGCTGATTCTATGACACAGTGTGTGTCGTCTCTAACACATTTTCATGTGCATGTCTTCCCTACCTCTGTCCCCCGTTCCAACCACCGTCCTCCAAACATCTCCTGCAGCCGTGTTGTTAGTATGCAACCCAGGAGTGACCACGGGACGTAGAGAGAAGCAAGCAGGAGTGGGAGAGCCTGGTGGCTCTGGTTCTGGGTGGGTCCCACTTTCTAGTTCTTAGCCCAGTGACATCATCTGCCTTTGGGATCCAAGCATGGCCCCCACATCCTAATAATCAATGTCCCCTGGTGCAAAACAGAGACTTTCTGTGAATGCAAACTTTTCTATTTTGTTGCAAGGCATGGCACTCTTTAATGGCTGCTGCTAACCAAAAACGTTTCTTTTTTTTTTTAAAGATCTTATTTATTTATTTGACAGAGGGAGACACAGCGAGAGAGGGAACACAAGCAGGGGGAGTGGGAGAGAGAGAGAAGCAGGCTCCACACCAAGCAGGGAGCCCGATGCGGGGCTCGATCCCAGGACCCTGGGATCATGACCTGAGC